CGAGTAATAAATGCCATTAATAATAGATATAGGTTTGTATGGCGTGGGCCTTAATAACATGCGTTAAACGGTTTGTCGACTCATTGATAGTGAAATCGATTTCATCGTTACTTGGATTCAAAATAATGACAACAACTCCGCCGTCGGGTCTCTCGAAAGCAATGGTCAACACTTTGTCCACCGGTTTATCCTCCCGGAGCTCCAGTCTCACTGAATCGGGTGAAACAAATTTACTGAAGTGTCCCAAACCATAAAAGCTTGGATTCTTGTAGTACTCCTGTCCCGTGGCGTTCACTATAATGGGTGCGCCCGCAGAGCCCGACCAATCGGGTCCACCCGTCAGATTCAACGCCATATTCCAGTGCACCCACCCATTGTTCCAGTGGTTTAGATCCTTATGAATCAATGTATGAATTATTTGTGATAAGGATGTAAAATATTTCTGTTATTAAAAATCAATGGTATTCTTAGGGAATACCGAAAATTTTGTATTTTTTGTAAGTATACAAATCTACCTTAAAAATCTTACATAAAAGTACCAAATTTTCGGTATTCCTTAAGTCTAACTTTGATTTCTAATAACAGATTTAATAAATTCATACAATTATGATATCTTTGGAGAAGTCCTCTAAGAAGGGCCAGAATCCAAGTGTCGGTACGTTATGAGAGGCCTCTGTGTTTAGTATATAGTCTCTGATCTAGATTATCAATAGGATTTAAAATACAAATTAAAACTTCACTCTTTGCTCAAGGCTAATAAAACTTTTATCACAAACATATTATTTATATCATACAAGTATAACTGTACTTTATCAATGATCTAGAATATTAATTCTTAATAAACAGGATAAATATAACACAATTTAATAAATGCCCTTGATAACAAATCACATTCTCAATTGTAGTTCTAAAACATTTTCGATTATCATTATTTAAAATTCTGTAATATTTTGATAACAAATATTATATAAAAGTGAAAATTATGTTTGAATTTTCTATTTGGTTTTAAATGACTAAATGATGAAAATATTATTTTTATTATCAATTTTATTCCTCACTGTTAAGACAGTAATCAATACATGAATCTATTCATCGTGAAAGCACTTATCTCGGTAAAGTATGCTTGCGTGCAATGCTCTCTGAAAATACCATGTTTAATAGTAATTTATTTATTAAAACTTTATTAAACTTAATTTCAAATTTTTTAGATAAATGTTTATTAATAATCAGATAGAAAATAGTGAATCTTTTGTAATAATACTTTTAAATGTTTAATTTACAATTAAACATTATATTTTCAGAGAGCATTGTAAGTATGAGATAAGTGTTTACGATGAATATTTTAAAATTTGTTAGTATTTAGTAAACATAGTATTTTGATAATATTGATAATCTAGATTTATAACTCCTATGTCTGCAAAACAAATGTGCCTTTCTCAAATACAAATTATATGAAATGTTTTATTTACAAAAAATTTAATTGATTTATTTATAACAATAAATTCAATTTGCTTGAAAATTATTCAGTTAGTACAATGCTATTATGATATATTGTACTTATGAACCATATTATGAATTAATAGTTCCATAGTTCAAATGCATAGCACCGCTCTCTGTAAGCCTCACTGTAGCTCAAAGTGTTTGTAAAGTACTGATTCAGTACTACAGCACCTGTATGTATGCCACAAATATTCTGTATTTTACTAGATTTAACATGATTTAATAATAATTATCCATTTTTTCACCTTTTATTATATTAAGTAATATATGCGATAGGTGCTTAGTCCCTCCCATTTTATAAGCATGGTGTATTTAAGTTTAATATCTATATTACTAGTGTTACGGTCTTTATCGTCTCGACATATTTCACACAATTTCCTGCAAATTTTTTTATCAATTATTGTATTATATTTTTATGTTTTTAATTATTTTTTATAAAAAGGTAAGCTGAACTAGATTAATGCAACCTATTTTTATAACATTTATAACTTTTAGATTAATATCTTTCATTAAATACTGTCATAAATTAAAGATTTCTACGAAATTTTAAAAAGCGGACCTGTTCATATCCCTTTACTATCATATCCTAGTGTCACAATCATTATTGAATAGTGCATCTATAGTACATCTATGGTGCAAATATGGTACGCACATTTTATGGTACATAAACATGGTACGATATATAATTAGATAAAGGTAGATAATAGGAAATAATAACAAAATTATCTCATTATTTTTCAAAATAAGTTGCTGATATTTGTAAACTTTATGTTAACAACAAATGTTAAATTCCCACTGTTTATCAAAATTAAAATCATATAAATAGTTTAGGTAATATTACCAAACTTTTATAAATAGTATCTATACACAATGAATAAATTATCTATTGTTTTATGTGTATTATTTCCTTGCTTAATTCAATATAGTTCTACTGAATATCAATCATTAGGTGGAAATCAATGGACAGTCACATCAGAGAATAAATGTAAATTTTAACAAGTTAAATTTTATTTTTTTATTATAAATTGATTTATTTAATAATTACTTTTTTGATTAAACAGCCATTAATGTAAAGGCTACCGTTCCCGGGGATATATACTCGGACTTACGACAGGCTGGCACTATAGGCCGAGACCTCCTTGTCGAGGATCATGATTCAAAATATAGTTGGATATCAAATGCTCCTTGGTTATATGAGCTAAAATTTAATGGTATATTAATGCAAATTAAGAATATATGAATGTTTACTTCAAATAAGATTTACAATATACCCGCTTATTTTATTATATTAAGTGTAATCATGCTTATTTTTATTTTATAGTTAGCGCAAACATACTGAGCAAGCAAGTGGTGAATTTGGTGGTCGAGGGCATCGACACCGTCAGTAATATAACGGTAAATGGCGTTCAGATTCTACGGACTATCAATCAGTTCGTGCGGTACGTGTTTGACGCCAAACATGCCCTCAAAAGCGGTCCAAACTCTATACAAATACACATTGAAAACCCTCAACACTATGTGGACGTCCAAAGGAATTGGTATAATAAGACATACAACTATGGTATAAATCCCCGTATGTATAATATCATTCATAACATAAATTATCTAGATATTCAAGGTAGTGTGCCAGAATTTATTTATAATTTTATATATTTAGCTAGAGGTTACATACGTAAAATGGGCGCATCATTTGGGTGGGACTGGGTATGGGAAATGTGAACATATTTTTAATTATTTTATTTTAATATATTTAAACTTTTTGTTCAAAGGGTCCGTCATTTAAAACACAAGGCATTTGGAAACCCATTGGTATCGAGGCTTACGATAAGGCAATCATTAGAGACATTACGGTCGAGACGACACCCGATGCACACAATGGCAGCCAATGGACACTGAATAGCAATATATTCATTGAATCCCAAATTAAACACTCTTTTGAAGCCAACGTAACTATTTCACTGGACGGAAAGGTACTCCAAAGTGGACAGTCGTATAATCTGACTACAGGCGCCGATGGCACGGCTAGACTAGCTCTGAAACTACCGGTGAATAACATGTCTATAACGCCGTGGTTTCCAAACGGTGTGACAAACGGTACGCAAAAGTTGTATGAATTGCGGGTAAAGATTGGGTTCAATGGGTCGACAGAAGTATCTGAAAAAACAGTGAAAATTGGTTTCCGAACCATTCAAGTGATACAAACTCCTGTAAAACCCAAAGGATTGACATTTTATTTTCAAGTCAATGGCGTCCCCTTTTTTGCCAAGGGCACTAATTGGATACCCGCTAATATTCTACAGGTAAGCCAAATAAAACTTAATATAAAGTTTCATTTTAATAAATATAATATATTATCAGTTGTCTAAATTTATCATGTGAAAAATAAACTGTTAAATGTTTTTTATATGTATTCTCAGGAGGACCTGACCAGAGATTATTTGAAACACATGATGGAGTCGGCCAGGGATGCCAACATGAATATGATGCGAGTGTGGGGCGGAGGGGTGTATGAGTCGGACTACCTCTACGAGTTGGCCGATGAGTACGGGATTATGCTTTGGCAGGACTTCATGTTCGCGTGCGGCAGTTACCCATCGGATCCGGACTTCTTGGCCACAGTGGACGTGGAGGTCACGCAACAGACACGCCGTTTGCAACACCACCCGTCCATCGCTATCTGGTCAGGTATGTAACCATTAAAACCCCTATATTTAGTAGATCTTTCGATAAAACTTACTAGTTTACAATAAAAAATCTTATTACCTGTAAGTTTATACAGTTTTTAAATATTTACATTATATTTGTTGACAATGATATATTGTTGAGTATTTTTAAAGCTACAGTAATCTTATCAACATTATATTGCCCGATACTTTATTTTTTTATCTATCTACAATTATTTGAAATTTCAAAAAATATAACCATCATACAAATACAATTAACAGGTAGCAACGAGAACATACCCGTAGCAACGTACCCCGATTATGCCATACGTAAGAAAGACTACATCGAGCTATACATCAATCATATCCGACGTATAGTACTCCAGGAGGACAGCAGTCGGTACTACGTGTCATCCAGTCCTTCCAATGGTGACGAAGACAAGTTGGAGGACTGGGTGCCCAAGAATCCCGGTGACCATAATTACGGCGATTACCATAACTACCAATATAACTTGCCATTGTGGGACTACAGGGTATGGGGTAATGGGAGGTTCGCCTCGGAATATGGATACCTGTCGTACGCGTCGGCCGAGACTATGCTAACGGCGCTTAATGCCAGTGAACTGACGTATCCAATAGGGCCGGCACTTGAACGCCGAAATCACCATGGTAATGGCACCAACTCTATTGATAACCAGATACGTAAGTAAAATCTCGTACTTATAACTACATTAGTGAATTCTCTTGTGAATTCTTTATCTAGCTCAGTTTACAAATTTTTATCAATGTTTAATTAATGTCAACAAATTAATGCATGTCATTAAAAACTTTAAAAATAAATACACACGCCCAGGTACATATTTCAACGCACCGTCCGCTGGAGGTATAGAACGATACGAGGATTTGGTGTACTTATCGCAAGTGGTTCAGGCGATGGCCATAAAATCTGCGGCCGAATACCATCGCAGGGATCGGGAGGTTAACCCCAGGGACGGAAACGGAAACACCATGGGTTCGCTCATATGGCAACTGAACGACATATGGCAGGGCACCACCTGGTCGTCCATAGAATACGGCGGCAAATGGAAACTATTGCACTCTTATACCCGGGATTTTTTCGCCAAACAGTTGGTCACCCCATATGAGGACACAAACGAAACTTTAATAGTAATTGAAATTTTTACCTATCCTGGTGAAATAAGTAACATTATTTTAATTAACGCAGCTATTATATTTATCTATAATTATGACACAATTATAACGTCAAATATTTATATTAATTAATCTAGTTGATTTTTAAATGAATTTGGAGCTATTTATTGTTAATATAAATTTTAGCATGATCTTGTTACTACTAATTATCAAAACATTGTTTATAGATGGCGTTAGTTCGGGACGATTACGATGGTAAGCATGAGTTGGATACGACTGTCCGGGTATACAAGTGGTCGTCCACTACACCAATCCATCAAATTGTATTGAAGTCTGTGAGCGAAAAGGGATTTTCAGTGCAAACCCTATGGAATCACTCCATACCAGCGCTGCTCAAGGAGTCCGGCTGTACAGACAGAACCGAGTGTGTGGTCAGAGTCGACGTTCCCTTCTATGGGGTATGTATATCAGGGTCCTTTCAATTAGTACGTAAATGAGAAATTGATGAATAGTAACGGGAAAATAATACTTAATACCACCTTTTAATATGGGAATAGTGTAACTATGGGAGGGGGAACTTTCTAAACGTACTTATTGAATGACACTTATTTATAATTTTTATAAAATTTTTTAACACAACATTAAAATAATTAATTATTTTCTAAATAGATATCGAATTTCCTGTTATTAACTGAACCGAGAAACTCGCGAATAGTTAAACCGAATGTGAAGTTAGTTTCGGTGAAACTGAGACCCAATGTCGAAGTCAATGGTAATCCGAAACACGTGTTCGACATAACGCTGTCCACCGAAGCCGTCG